ATTAACACAGAACCTACCTCTCAGGGTTAGAATCAAAAAGAGTTAATATGTATGAAAGAGCTTTGTAAAAAGCAATTCTCCAAACAAGTAACAGATGATAGAACAAGAGAGAAGACACTGTTTAAAGGTACTGTATTTAAGATTAACATCATGATGAGGAAAGTATTTGACAATCATAAAATGAAAATAAAACATTTGACTTAGAAATATGAATTAATCTACAAAATTTTATTAAGCAAGTTACCTTACTTTCTTCTACTTTGTGTGGTATGCATAGTGCTTGCAAAACAACGTGTTTAGAAGGTTGTAAGAGGCAGACTGATCAAAAAATATATTAAACAGATTTGGAAGGGGGTGGATATAAAGTTAGAATTTCTGAGTCATGAAAACATCAGATAGCAATTTCAGAAAGGTGTAACTTTATTTAAAACCAAGCTGCTGTGAATTCTACCATGCCGCAGACACCTCTGAATCAACAGTCTCTGTTGGCAAATTGTTAGGCTGACAAATTCTCACACACACCAAAAATTTCCATTTTGTAAACAAGTTAAGTGGGTTCCTGATGGTCCAAAAGCAGAGTCCTCCTTTGAGTGGACCTGTATCATCCATTCCTCACATTAGCCAAACAAATTCAAACACTGATCACCCAAATCCGAGAGCCACCTTGAACATTGGTGTAATATTAAATTTGATATCCTTATCAAGTCTGGGAAACACAAAAACACATCATTGGCTTCATTGGCTAGATTTCCTGAGATAGTTAGAATAGTATGGTGTGATAATTTGGTCCTCTTTATAGCCCCAGGGGCTCTATTTCCACTTCTGTCCACATGGACAAAAACAGAACACTGGTCCAGAAGAAGTCAGGATATTTGATGTATAGAAAAGTGAATATACATGTAGCCAAATACAGGTTGAGTGATGGATCTTCCTTCTGCTGGGTCAGTGTCAGTCACAGGGGTTCTGGTTGTGTGCTTTATGATCACCAGCCCTGTCATCTAAGCAGGATGAAATGTCCAAGAGATACAGCCATGCAGATGAGTGAAAAATCACCACCATTGCAGGAAAGGGAACCAGGTGAGGTATATTTGCATAACATGGACTTTGGACATGACAACCTGCACATACATCACAAAAGGTGACATTTGCACCCCATAAAAGGTATACAAGGGACAGCAGTGTCCAAAAAGGGACATCAAATGGAGATATTAGAGGTGTTGGGCCCTGGCCCCAGAAATTGTGGGATTAATAGAATCTAATACAGTGTCTAGCTTACAGGCACTTGGTATTTCAATATATTAGAGTAAGTTTCCTTCCTCCTGTTTTATAAAACTACTTTGTGGGGGGGGGGGCATTATCATATATCAAGGGGAGTTGGATCCCAGGACCACACTGTTCTTCCTAGCAGTATGAGTACGAAGAACCCAGCAGTGATTGCACCTTTGAACAGCCTGTTTTTATCAAGGGCTGGGACCATCATTTCATAAAGATCAGACGCCTTTCTGTAGTCTTCTATCCTGCTAATTGGGGTGAGTGGGAGGATAGAGAAGGAAATACCTGCCCTTGATCACAAGCTTGGTTCCAAGCCCATTTTCATGTACTTTTATCTTCCAATTTCTAGATGCTTTAAACTTCCCAGCGAACTGTGAGGATGATATGGGGTCACCTGTGGTCTTATGAGGAAACAACAGAACCCAGAGAAAACAAGGAATCTGGAAATCTTTGTCATCCAATCAACATCCTGTAAGTTGGAAGAGTCTAGTCCTGTGTGCTCTTGTAGACGTAGACCTTCTCTCCCATGAGGAAAGCAAAAGCGATAACCAGCTTTCCACACTTGTAAACACAGGCCTGCACATCTATTTTCCAGGTTACTAAAGATGTCAACCAGGGCCAGACCCAGGCAAAATTCGAAAACAGAAGAGGTTTGTTGCCAAGAGGGCCAAGGTAGGAGCGACAGTACCTGGATCCCCAATCCAGCATTAGTTATATGACCTTGAACAAGCCCTTTCTCTTTTTTGAGCCTTGGCTTGCTCACGTGTAAGATGGGAATAATAATAACATGTTCAATATTTGATGAAGAGGAGAAAATGTAAAGTGTTTTAAACAGATATAAAAAACAAAACCGTCTCCAAGCTTTAAGTCAGGGCCTGGTTTCCACATTCAAACAGCTCCTCCCTTCCTCCCTCCAGTTTCTTTCTTTCCTTCTCTCTCTCTCTCTCTCTCTCCACTGGTATAGCCAACAGGGCCTCAGAGCAGGAACTAAATCTAATTAATTCCTAATAAAGTGTTAGTGCCATGGTCGACACTCCCCTTATGCCACTTCCATGCTAATGAATGAATCTCTGTTTTTAGAATATCAGATGTTAGCAAGAGACAGATGCTTCGAAGAAGGTAGAAGGGTGTGTGTGTGTGTGTGTGTGTGTGCATGCACGTGTGGAGAAGGGAGGTGGCTGATCAGGTGCCTTTAGGTAGAAACCTTCCTGATAACCCAAAGACAACATTTGGCTCTACCTATGCAAAGCTGGCTGTGCAGGGAGCCCTTTAAAACACTGCCCCACAGAAAATGTGAAATTCTCCTCTGCATCCTTGGTCTGCATGACACTGGCAGATGCTAAACTTCGGCCTGTCTAGAACAGTTAATTAGGTTATACAGGCTGCCAAAAATCCCAAAGTCATCCTAAGAAAGTGCAACACTTTGAGATGTGAAGCAAAGGTCAGGAGACACAAACACCAATCTGATTTTTAAGAGAGAAACCACCAAATAAGTGGGGGGGCAGGGAGGGGAGAAAGGAAGGAAGCAGGTCCCTGACAATCTGGCAACTTCTTATCAGTTTCCTATAAACGTTGAGATTAGGCATAAAGTGGTCCTGGCTCTTTTCTCCACTAATAAATACTATACACTTATAAAGGCTGATACTGTAAGAGATACTGTATATTCATAACCTGTTCCAGAACTCTCAGGTCCATACCTCCTGGGACATCAGGAAATCTTTCAGAGACCTCCTTCCTGCTGGAGAATGTTCTCACCTGGGAATAATAAGGCGGGAGAGGGGAAGGAGAGAATTTGCTAAATGGAATCAGTTGAACAAACGCTTGCCTGGGCATGTTCAAGTCTCCTTTACTGGTTGCATCAAATTATGACAGAGGAAGAACTGCTGACTGCCCCCTGGTTCTCAGTAGTGGAGAGGCAGCCTTAAAAACCTAGAGACCCAGTTCTTCCAAAAGGTTACCCCAGAAAGCATGTGCTGGGAATGGGGTGGGGTCAGAAAATAAACAGCAGTGCGTGGGACTTCACTGCCACCAGCAGGACCCAGGAGAAGTGCAGGCCAGGAGGAGGTCAGGAGCGGCCTACGGCAGAAGCCCCACGTAGGAAGACAAAACTTGCACCTGAGCTGCTTTCATCCTGTGCCTAACCACCCCCTTTTCAATCTCAAAGATTTGGAAAAGGTGTTCCTCCTCTCTCGAATACCGGAGTTCCTGCGCCAAAGCTCAAACTCCAATTAAGGATCCAAACACACCCTCCTCCCTTCCCCCACCCCACAGTACAATCACACTTTTATTCTACGAGGGCCTCCTTTCTCCCCTGGAATTTGCAGTATTTCAGCAGGTGCAGCGAGGGTGGAACGGAGATGGCAATTTTACGCCTGGGTCCCTCCGCATCTCGCGTCACCCCGGCGGTAAACCAGACCCCTAGCGCTCCCACCCCAACTCCACTCCCGTCCGCTCTGGCCCCGTCGGATCAGCGTCAGGTGGAGCCGACTCAACGCTATGAACGGACTTGGAAAAGCGGCCACCGGCCAACTCTGATCTCTCGCACCCCGCCTCAATCCGTTGCCACCTGCACTTTGCGGGACCTTGCGCGGAGCGGCGCTCTCCGGAGCCCCCAAGGGCCTGCCGGGCCCAGGCGCGCACCGGGCGGCGCGGGGCTGCTGGAGCCGCCCAACTGGCGGAGTGGCCCGGGAATGCTCCAGGGCGGGGGCAGGATGGACCCCTCCGGAGCCTAGAGACCTCAGGAAGGCTTCCCGCGGAGATCCGCTCTTGGAAACGTTCCGCGACTACGCGGCGAGGAACACGTGAGCGACGCGCCTTCGCTATAAAAACCCCCGCTCTGCTGAGCGTGAGGCTAACGGAGCGGCAGGACTGAGTTACCTGCGCCGCCGCAGGCCGGGCGACGGCGACGCTCCCTCCACGACGCTCAAGACTGTCCCGAGTTTTGATGCTTCGGACCCTCGGGGGCCGGGCTTAGTGCGTGCGTCTAACTTTGAGGCCGGAATTGCCCGCACGTAGGCAGAGAGGCGCCGACGCGGGTAGGCGTGCATTCCCGAAAATGCTCAAAGACTGTCTGACCTTTAGGAGAGTTGGAGGAGTCGGAGGGATCGCGGGATAGTTTCTTTCTTGTCCTCCACCAGAGAGACAGCCACGAGCGCTCGGGATCGTCCCGAAGAGGCCCGGAAGCCCATGGGCAGCCCGAGGCCCCCGCGCCCCCGCCCCCGCCGCCCTTTAAGCCGAGGGTGAGTCCTGCGCCCCGCGGGAGGAGGTTCCCATAAAGTCGGGACGCCCATCGCAGAGAAAGTTTGGTCTGCTCTCTGCCGTCGGTCCCCGCTGCCTTGGGCGACCCCTCTCCCCGCGGCAGGCGCGGGCGGGGAGATGGCTGCGGGCTGGGCGGCCGGCGCGGGCGCCTCCCGGCGCAAAGGGGCGCCGCGCGCTTAGCTGCTGCCACGCTGCCCTCCCGCCGGCTGCTGTGCTGAGCCCCGTCAGCCGGCGAAGGCGGACGCCCAGAGGGCCAGGAGGAGGCGGCGTTAGCGGCCCCAGGGTCCGTATGGCCGCTCCCCGCCGGCCGGTACTGTGCGCCACCGAGCTCGCCGGCGGCGCCTCGGGCTCGGGACGACTCTGAGCCGCGCCGCCTGCGGGGATCGACCTAGCTGTTCCGCGGAGCCGCGGGCAGGACCCGAGGACCAGGAGGCGGCGGCGGCGGCAGCGGCTCTTCCTCCCAGAGGGCGATGTGGCCGGCAGGTGCGGGCACCAGGCTGCCCTGTCCCCGGGACTCCGCGCTCCGGCGGGCGGCTTTCTCTGGGAACCTCACCGCCCTGCCTTCTCACCTCGTGCCCGCCGGCCGAAGTGTCCGGGTCTTTATCAGCGCCAACCCTGAAGGTAAGTCCCTCGCTCGGATCTGTCCGTCAGTCTTGTCCGTCCGCGCGCCGGGAGCCCGAAAGTGCCCGCAGCACAGCCGGGGGCGCCGTTTATGCCCGGCTTTCCCTTCCTCCAGCTGAAGCCGCGGCTGCCCCGAGCGCGTGGGAATTTCATCTGAATCACTTGTATTTTCCCCTTGCTCAGCCCCTCTGCCTGCTGACTTCCCCTTAGGACACCCAGGCTCGCGCTCCCCGCCCAGGTTACTCTTTCAGGTCGAGCTAAGAAACGTCCGAGGCAGTAGCAGACGCTTCTGGAAGCTCCATCCTGCCACTACCGCCACCCTTTCTTTGAGCGCGTCCCATCTCCGGGGTTACCGTAAACGCAAGTAGTAGTTACCCCTCGCTCCCGGCTCCGCCTCAGGCTACTGAATGAGAGCTCCCTCCTTTGCAACTTGTTCCCGCCCAGGCGAAGCGAGCCTGGGGTTCCCTGAGACTCGCCGCTTGCCAGCGCGATGGTGTCTTTTGCTTTGGAGCGCAAAGGAAACCTCTGTAAACCGAAGGCCCGCGGGGGTTGGGAGGAAACACGCGGTGAGGCCTCGGGATGGATGGGCGCTCGGTCTGTCGGGCGCTGGCTTTTTGGTGGAGCGCTCAAGATGAGCTCATCTCCATATTTGGACCACAGGATTGATTTCCCTGTCCAGAACCTGGCCTACTCTGTCGTGTACCAGCTCAGGGCTGGGCACCTGGGAGGCGCAAAACGCAAACTTGTTGATATATTGCATTCACAAATCACAGCGGCTGGGCGCTGGGTGGGTCGTTTCTCTTTTTTTCTTTTTCTTTTCTTTTTTTTTTTTTTTTCCTCAACACTGCTTTTGAGTTCTAGGACCGGACGTTAACTTTCGTTACTAGTAAGGGAAAGTAGGATGCATTTGACTTAAGCTGGATAAAACTGCAGGAATTGCTCTTTTCTAGAAAAAAGTAACTGTTCGGCCATAACATAAATTTGTAGGAGACTTTTTATGCGCTGTAACAAGCCTTGAGTCTGACAAAAAAGTAAAAGGAAAAGTTAACAATCATTGGAGAGAGTCCTTTGAAAACCCAAGACTGGTTGCTGATGAAAAAGCACTTAGGACTAACAAAAATAACTTTCTAAAATAGTTGTAAAAAAAAAGAAAAAGCAGAAATCTCAGGTAAAGTTTGTTATGACAAGGGGATTAAGGAAAGAAATACGTAACTCACAGTCATTAGTAATAGAGGGAATGTATACTTTTGAGATGGGGGCACGACTCTCCTATAAAGTTTACAGCTCACTTTCACAGAATTTACTACTTTAAGGAGGCATTTAGGAAACTACTGTGCACGCTTTTAAAATCCTTTTAAAAATCTCAGATATGTCTTCCAGGATTTTAACTTAAATCTGAATAAAGAAAACCGTGGAAATATGCAGCCTATTTAAAGGTTAGGAAAATCTGCAACTTAAGTGTTCAGTGTTCTTTTTTTTTAATGTTGCTGAAATATTTTTTAAGTGGTTGAGAGAATTGTGTTAGAAAATGTCTTAAAATTGTCAATTCTTCTAAGCTTAAATGTCATGAGAAGTGTTTAAGTCTGCTGATGTAGAGCTAGCTAAATGACTGTTTTTCTTTAAACATGTTGCTTCTACTGTGAAAATTTTGTTAATATAATCAGTAGTTCCTTTAAATTTGTGTTTCCTTTAAATAAAAACCAATGATCATGAGTTTAAGTCAGCTTAATATTGAATTCATATTTAAGATTAATGTCATTTTTCTTAAGCTTGTACATGCGATTCTTCAAATTTTCTAGTTTCTGGAAAGCTTTACCATGTATTACTCTTCGGAAGGCAAACAGGAGGAGGGAGCCCTGACCCTTTCATGTCTCCTAGTCACTGTTGGAGCCGTAGAGCTTGCACATTGATCTGAAAGGACCAGAAATGTGACTTCTACCTCAGACGTTGTAACAGGGGGCAGCATCTCAAATTTTATCCAGATTGGAGAGCCGGGGGTATACTGAATAGAAAAGACAGAGATGGGTATTTTTTTGGACTTGTGTATGAAACCTTGCAGTCTTGGTAAATGCTCTATCAGAGGCAGCACTTTACCACAAAATTTTTATGGATGCAGTTCAGGAAGCAAATGGTTGTGTTTTGGTTCAATCCAATATTAGATTCTTGGCCAATACTCAAGAGCCTCTCCACTGTCCAATTAAGATAAAGAACATTATCTCATGCTTTTCTTTACAAGTGGAAATCAACTGATGCTCTAAATAAAAGCTGCTTTGTGTTGAACTCAGAGCAATATGTTTCAGAATCCAGCAAGGGTCTCCCTTAGATTATTAATAGGTCTTGCTTTAAAAAGCTTCTGTGGACTTAACCCATCAGTAATAAAGGTAACCTATGTCTTTCAAATGGAAAAATTACTTTCCCATATGTTAGTCCATTCAGTATTTTAATTTTGATTTCCATTGTCCAATCCTGTGAGGATGCTGGGCCAGGGGCTGTTCTCTGGTACAGATGAGGAAACTAAGGCAACACCAGGTTAAGCTCCTTGCCTGTACTCCTATGCCAGAATGAAACAAGGTAGGAGCCTTCAGGGAACTCAAAACCTCTCTCCTGATACTCTGGCCAGCCTAGGTTCAGGCCAGATTTCTGTGAAGTATCTTATCCCCACTGGACAAGACAAGTCAGCTGGATCTAGTGGATGAGTGTTCTCCTTATTCTTGAATCCGGACGGCCAGAGCTGAGTTAGCAGGAAGGGAACACGGCTGGCTGCCCTGACCCACTTCACCTGCATTAAAAGGTGGTATTAAGGGCATTCAAGGAAATTTCAGAATGTTCTGGACTCTAATGGACTTGTTCCTATCCATAAGTATGTCTGCATCTGACCAGTCCCCACCACATTGAAGACCCTGGAGAAATATCCTGTGTGGAGGAGGGAATAGCATTGTGCCAGATTCTCTGACACAGATAGACCTTGGACTTCATCTAGTGCCACCTTCTACCCAACGTAGAAATTCAATCTGTGGCATCTGTATTAATCCTTGGAAGTCTTGTCACTTAGCCACTGTCTCTCTGCCAGAATGGCACTTACACCTCCTTGGAACGATGATTCTAAAACACATATAAAATCTTCCACTGTGATCAGCCTGAATTGTGCATGAATATGCAGAAGAGAGGAGCCAGCATGATTGTCTCCCTATGTTGAAATTCACGGGGGCCTAATAGGTAATTTCTGTGCCTCAATTCTTAACCAGTTTAGAACAAAGTCAGCCTTAGCTTGGGCTGCTGCAACAAAATACCATAGACCAAGTGGCTTCAGCAACAGACCTGTATTTCTCACAGTTCTGGAGGCTGGAAGGTCCAAGGTCAAGGTGCTGGCAGGTTTGGTTCCTGGTAAGGGACCTCTTTCTGGTTTTCAGGTGACCATCTTCTTACAGTGTCCTCACATGGCAGAGAACACAAGCTCTAGTCTTTTTTCTTTAAAAGGGATGCAAATCCCATAATGGAAGCCCCACCCTAAAGACCGCCTCCAAACCTCATCAAACCTAATTACCTCCCACAGGTCCCACTTCTAAACACCATCACATTAGCTGTTAGGGCTCAGTGTATGCATGGGGGAGGGGCAGAAACGTTAAGTCCATAACGTTCTGCCCTTGCCCACCCCCAACAAATTCATGTATATTCATTCCATCCCAACACCTCCAAAATTTTTGACCAGCATCAACTCTAAAGTCTACAGCCCAAAGTCTTATCTAAATACAATCTAAATTAGATATGGATGAGACTCCAGATATGATTTATCCTAAGGCAGAATTCCTTTCCTGCTGTGAACCTGCAAAACCAAGAAAGTTATGTGCTTCCAAAATGGAATGGTGGGGCAGGCAGAGGATTAGCATTCTCATTCCAAAGAAAGATGAAGGATGCCAAGTAAGTTGGGGAGGCTGGGTGGCTCAGTCAGTTAAGGGTCTTCCTTTAGCTCAGGTCATGATCCCAGGTTTCTGGGATCAGCCTGGCACCTGGCTCCCTGCTCAGTGGGGAGCCCACTTCTCCCTCTCCCTCTGCCTCTCCCCCTGCTTATGCTCTCTCTCTCTCAAATAAATAAAATCTTAAAAAAAAAAAAAAAGATGAAGGGTCCCAAGTAAGTTTAAAACCCAGCAAGGCAAATACCATTAGGTCTTAAGGCTCTTGGAATAAACCTCTTGGGTTTGAAGCTCTGCCTTCCACACCCCCTGGGGTGGCAGCTCCACTTCTGTAACTGGGGGGAAGGAGTTGCCCACCAAGACTCCAGGAGGCCCTGTCCCCAAGGCTTCAGAGCCACACCATCTGCCCTGTTGAAGCCTAGGAGTTGCCTTCCCCCACTTTGAAACCAAGGAGGCAGCCCTGATGATCTCCAAATCTCCTTTGGGGTCATTCTTCCTTTGTCTTTAAGAACCACACACATGCACAGCTGAATGGCTGAATGCTCTAGTCCTGCAGAATCTAAGAAGTCTGTCAGCCTTCCTTCCTTTGATCCGGTCTCTGTCTTCCTCAGTTCAGCCGACCTTGTTTCTGCTGGGGTGGTCCATGGTTTACACCCATAATTTCCTTACAAATGGTGTTCGACCACACCCTTGGTGTTCTTTTCAGACAAGCCTTGCCATTTTTTGTAATAGGAATAAGTTGAGAATTTTCCAGATCTTTAAGTTCTGGTTCCTTTTTGCTTAATTCCTTTCTCGGTTCCTTCCCCGAACCCCAATCAGCACAACTTACTATAAGCGCTCAGGAGGAAGCAAGCCACCCCTTCATCCAGTTTCATGACTTACGAGTGCTACCTTGCACAAAACCCTACAGCGCAGTCGAGCTACATCGTTTACTACTTTACAACCCTCCCCTTCTGTCTGTTGTGCAATAACACGTTCCTCATTTGTCTTCGGGGTCACCGCAGTGGCCAGATTCTGTTCATGATTTCTCTCTTCTCTAAGAAGGTGGAAGCTTTCTCCACAGCTCTCCACTTTTCTTTCTGAGCCCTC